TCTATCTATCTATCTATCTATCTATCTATCTATCTATCTATCTATCTATCTATCTATCTATCTATCTATCTATCTATCTATCTATCTATCTATCTATCTATCTATCTATCTATCTATCTATCTATCTATCTATCTATCTATCTATCTATCTATCTATCTATCTATCTATCTATCTATCTATCTATCTATCTATCTATCTATCTATCTATCTATCTATCTATCTATCTATCTATCTATCTATCTATCTATCTATCTATCTATCTATCTATCTATCTATCTATCTATCTATCTATCTATCTATCTATCTATCTATCTATCTATCTATCTATCTATCTATCTATCTATCTATCTATCTATCTATCTATCTATCTATCTATCTATCTATCTATCTATCTATCTATCTATCTATCTATCTATCTATCTATCTATCTATCTATCTATCTATCTATCTATCTATCTATCTATCTATCTATCTATCTATCTATCTATCTATCTATCTATCTATCTATCTATCTATCTATCTATCTATCTATCTATCTATCTATCTATCTATCTATCTATCTATCTATCTATCTATCTATCTATCTATCTATCTATCTATCTATCTATCTATCTATCTATCTATCTATCTATCTATCTAGCGTCCCGGGGAAAGGACAGTTTTAACTTCTTCGAATGTTATTCTGGTTAGTGATCATGTGCTGATTGTTTTTTTTAATATATCGTTTTGAAATTTATTTATTCATTTATTTATTTATTTATTTTTAGTAGGCACACACAAGTATGCACAGGCATAAGTAAGTATGTGAATGCATCGGCGAACATAGACAGGTAAATAGATAAATTAATGAATATGAAAGCACACATATACACTTAAACACACGTAAACACACAAACAAACACACACACACACACACACACACACACACATACACACACTCTATCTCTCTCTCTCTCTCTCTCTCTCTCTCTCTCTCTCTCTCTCTCTCTCTCTCTCTCTCTCTCTCTCTCTCTTCCTACAAACCCATCTATCCATCCATCTACCTATCCACCCTATCCACCACTCTATCTCTCCACACACTCCCTTTTACCTCATGCATCCCCCCCCCTTTGATCTCTCTCTCTCTGCATTTATTTATTTTTTTTCACACAACTCTTTCCACCATAAATTCTTCCTTTTTTTTCCCACACGTCTTTCCTCCTTTCCTCCTGCAGCTGGGCCAAGGTATCCTCCAGATGCGGCGGGAATCGCTCCTGGAAGGGAACACCACCACGAACAAGGACAGGTTTCTGACGTACATGCACACGTCCGGAGCCCAGATGCTTGTTGAGTTGGGACGAGACACGGAGCAGGCGATGAAGACGCTGGTGGAAGATAGCCTCGCCTTGTGGAATTTCTCCGTCGAGTTGGCGAAGGTTAGTGGGGAGGAGGGGGAGGAGGGGTGAAAAGAGGGGGAGGGGGGTGAAGGGAGGGGGAAGGGGGTGAAGGGAGGGGGAAGGGTGAAGGGAAGGGGGTGAAGGGAGTGGGGAGGGGGAGGTGGTGAAGGGATGGGGTGGGGGTGAGGTGAAGGGAAGGGAAGGGGGAGGAGGTGAAGGGAAGGGGGTGAAGGGGAGTGGGAAGGCGTGAAGGGAAGGGGAGGGGGTGAAGGGAAGGGGAGGGGGTGAAGGGAAGGGGAGGGGGTGGGGTGAAGGGAGTGGGAGGGGTGAGATGAAGGGATGGGAATAAGGGGGAGTGGGAAGGGGGTGAAGAGAAGGGGAAGGGAAAATGAGACTGGGAGGGGGATGAAGGAATGGGGAGGGGGTGGGGGAGGGGAAAAGGGGAGTGGGGAAGGGGTGAAGGGATGGGGAAGGGAAAATGAGAGTAGGGGGGAGTGAAGGGACAAGGCGCAAAATGGGAGAATGGGGTGGAGGGAAAGATGATGGTGCTGAAAAGGAAGAGGAAAGAGAGGTATAGGAAAAGAAAAAAATGGCAAAGGTTAAAGGAGATAAGAAAATAAGGAGGCGAATATAAGGTGAGAGAAAGAGAGAGAGAGAGAGAGAGAGAGAGAGAGAGAGAGAGAGAGAGAGAGAGAGAGAGAGAGAGAGAGAGAGAGAGAGAGAGAGAGAGAGAGAGAGAGAGAGAGAGAGAGAGAGAGAGAGAGAGAGAGAGAGAGAGAAGACTGAGAGAGAGAGAGAAAGAGAAAGAGAGAAAGAAAGGAGAATAAATAAAAGGGGAATGCTAAAATAAAAAAAACAAGAGAAAGACACACACAAAAAAATATCATAAACAACAACAAAAATGTAAAGAAAACTTCCCAAAAAAAGCAACAACAACAATAATGATAATCACAAAACACCGTTAAAAAATATCCAATAAGGACACAAGCTAGCGCGCGAGTAAGTAGATCTGTCAATGAATTAGTCTCGATCGCATGAATGAACGATAATTGGTCTTGTGAATGAAAGGGGGTGTGTATGTGTTTACTCATTAGGAGCTTGCGTAATAGAGGGCGAGGACGGA